TATTGAACAATTCTCCGACTTCATCCTCAGCCAGGAACAATGTGGCCACTGTTTCTATTTCACTGTGGAGGTGCTCAGATATCTGCTGTCTGTTGTTGGCAGTTCTGTAGCCTCAGAGCTGGCCAAGGGCAATGCTGCCTATAGCTGCAAAAGTGACAAAGACTTTGAATGTTTTACAAGGGAATCCCTGGAACAGATGACATCTCCAACAACTCACAGCTCACTGTTCACTGTTGTATAAGGGAGGCCACTGATACCCTGTACACAAAGAGACAGTAAACAATTGTGTACTCTTGTGCCAGAAGGAAGCAGGCAAAGTGGGCATGCAGCTTCGTCAGGATTCCACATGTTGCAGGGTGGTCACTGACTGTACCCATTACTTTGTGGACACAGTATGCAAATTCAGAGAGGAACTGCAAACGCAGTAATTTCCACTGCCTCAACCTGTAACCAATGTGTGGCCATTCTCAATGTAAGAAGTCAGTTAATGCCCGACAACAGAAACCATGCATTCATTCTGCACCAGTCCATTGGACCATCAGCATTTGAGAATCAGAGGGCAGCCACTGTGGACAAACCACAAATGACCTTGCAGGATGCCCACAAGTGAGTCTGCAGTTTGATTAGATTCAACTGTGTCCGGTTTCGGATTGCAGGGCTGGGAGCAGGAATGTTGTCAGTCCCAAGAGAGTACAGCAGGCTCGTACTCCAAGGAGCCACAGCAACTCCCAGGTCACGGCAGCTCAGCAATCCGAGTGTTACGTTGGAGGCCAGGTTGCTACAGTATGGTGGGAACCTGCAAGCTCCTTAAAGCACAGGTTATCAGCAGCTCCGGCAACAGCAGACTGAGTTTGCATGGCAGCAAACTGAACTTACGTAACTCCACTCTCATCAACCATCACAGCACTCACGAGTCTGAATGGCTTCTGTCTCTGCTGTAGTGGAACTTGAGGCATCAGCCATCAGGTGCTGCAGAAGGGTTGGGTCCACTGTGCGGGTCGTAACCCCCACTTCCATGCTAGAAAGAATGGGCTCCAAGCTATACGCAGAACCCTGTGCAAGATTGGCATTGGACCCCTCATGCTCTTGACTCTGTGATTGGCATGTCAATGTACCAGGCATCTCTGCACATTTGCATCAACCATTTTCTGTGAAGTCCTCATCTGAGTCCTCCCGACCACAAAACACGCACGACCCTGCCCTCTGGTGAGCTGGTAGCCACACTATCCTTTCACCTCACTTTATCTGCAGGTTACTCAGGCCCCGGCTTTCAGCACGTGCAGCTCCCACCTCTAAACTCGCTGTGTGTTGTCTGTATCTGAGCTGGTGGCTGTGAGTGGGAGAGTGAGTGTCAGTGCTGAAGGTGAAGCACTGTCTTCTTGCTCTTCCACCTCTTCTTCTTCCGCCACTGCCTAGCCAGGTGTCAGTTCTTAGGCATCTGAAAGGAGAAAGACACAAGGGTTGGATTGCGAAGGTGATGGGAGATGGAAACAAAGAGGTACGCACTTACATCACCAGCAGCGTGCCAATAAGAAATAACTGTGGGATGAGGGGGGAGTGGTATGTGAGGACGATGAATGGCGATGAGCATACCATCATCTTTGGTGCTTTCACTTCCACTGCTGGTTAGGGCCTTAGTTATGGCTATGTCTCCATATGGGGGAGAAGATGCAGCAATGCCTGTCCTCCACTGGGTAGCTGCTGCTACCTTTGGCTGTGAATGCTCTTGACCTGAAAAAGAGAGGGAACTGTATCAACGCATCTGGTCCAATGTGCCTGTCACCGTTGAACAGACATAAGTGTGTATGGTGTAGGTGTGAGCCTGGCAGCAGTATTAAGTGTGCGAGGTTGAGATGAAGTTATGACTGTTCAGTACAAAACCTGATTGATGGAGATTGCTGGTATGTGAGTGATGGGGATATGGTGCATCAAGCACTGTCTGACGCTAGCGCTGCATGCGTTTGGAGATGGAATTTAAAGAGACATTCACTGACCTTGATCACTTGTGAGAGGTCAATGAACTTCCTACGGTACTGCATCCAGGTCCTTAGGAGTAAAATACAGACACTGACAGCAAAGACTATTTGCTTCAGCTGCATTCGTAGCGTTGGTCCGGAGGGTGTCTTGGTCCTTACGGATAGAGGATCTCTCCTTTTGAGTCTACCTCCTGCAGCAAGATCCCCAGTGCTGCATTGCAGAGTCCACTCTTCACCTGCCTCATCATAGTCAGGTGTCTACCAAGTCAAACATCAGAGACTCTTTCTTACCCACTTCTAGCATTTGGTCCAGTCAAAAGGCACCTCCCCTTTCAGAGATATGAGTCATGATATATCAATAGTGAATGTGTGCTAGTCTCTCACACTTTTCCACCTCCTGCTTAGACAGACCAGCCACACAACAGCACACTTAGCACTGACTGATTGCTACAGCCATATAAATGAGCCTCGTCTGCTGCCAGCATTGGAAGTGGCTTAATCGCACACAACCATCCCCGCACCCGTTTGCGTTATTGAATTTTGCATTTCATGCAGAGCCATTACACCTCAAAGTAGTTTAGTGGTTACTGGGGATAAATGGATCTTGTTACACTGCTGCTCAGCTAATGACCTTGGGGGGAAAGCACACAGCTACCTGCTGGGTGACAGAAACTGGCACACTGGACTACCTTGAGAATGAGGGCATTGTGGCAACTTCCAGGAGAGGGAGCATTTGACTGCATGAGGCATGGTGCTTGTTGCAAAGTCAGACAGACAAACAGTAGAATCCTTGATGTTTACAGAGATGATAGCAGTGATCTAGAGACTTCAACGGCTATGATGGCACAATCTCCCTAGAAAATCTTGCCACTCTGTAAATTTGGCAAAATGGCAGTGTCCTGTCCTGCTGCTGTTAATTGTCAATGAATAAGTGGATGCGATTTATAACTCCAGCACAATCTTCGATATACTTAATGCACCTGTACACATTTGATAGACCTTTTTAAAAATAAAAAAAACTATTTACAGGATGTGCTTGACATGAGCAAATGTCTCTTTTGCCCATCCCTTGTCGTTAAAAGAATATTGTTCTAGGTACTGACCTGCCAGGCCATTTCAGAGGACATTAAAAATCAATCAAGTGGCACAGGACTAGAGTCATATGTAACCCACACAGGGTGGGGCTGGCAGCTTCTTTCCCTGAATTATGTGAGTGAACTAGCTGGGTTTTTAAAACAGCAGTTAAGCAGCTTTTGGAGTTTTTTTCACATGGTACCAATGTTGTCATACCTTCAGAGGAAGTGTTTTGGATTGCTATGGCTCTTGTGCAGTGACCATGGTGGAATGGGGTTGCGATTATTGACCTAGCTGGCCTTCATGGCTTCCCACATGAAGGGCAAGCACTCTTCCTGGATCAAGTGAAGCTAAGACCACATTGCCATATTATTTCTGAAGTAGGGACGTGGGTGGTTGCCATACATGCTCTGTGCTGCCTCACTACTTTCCATTGCCTCTTGATTTGCTCCACGAAAACAGATCGAGGTATTCTCACTTTCTTGACTTTAGAAGGGAAGAGGGAGAGTACGTAATGAGGGTTATATAGCAAAAGGCAGTTGATGAAAGCTTTGACAACACCATAAAAACCAAATACAAAGGGAAATAAAAGTGGCTAAAAAATCAGCTTTCAGTGAAAGTGGGCAAATTAAAACCATGCCCACTGTTGCTGCAGCACTATACCTGACCAGATGTTGAGTGTAGGTGAGACTGTTGCTGGAAAGTCTTGTCGGGTATTTAGAGTTTCAACCCGTTGCTAATTCCTACTTAGTTTTAAGTAACTTGAACATATAAATGGCATACGGTAGCACAGAGATTGTTAGATGATGGCTCTGTTACTAGATCAATAAACAGAAGGTGATCTAAAAACATAAGGTGAAATTCCATTACGGCTGTTAGGGAATTTAAATTGAGTTGATGGGAATAATTTGGAATGAAAAGCGAGCTTTAGTAATTGGCAAATGACTTAATTGCTGTGAAAACCCTTCTGCTTCACTGATGTCCTTTAAGGGAGGAAACTGCTGTCCTAACCTAGTCTGACCCACATGTGACTCCAGACTCTTAACTGCCCTCTAGATAGCCGAGAAAGCTAGTGAGTGGTAGCGATTCATTATGCTTTAATGGTTCAAGAATATAATCCACTGCCATCTTTCTGAGGGCATTTAGGGATGGGCAAAAATACTGACCCAGTCAGTGATGCTCACATCTCAAGTGTGCGTACTCACAGCTGCTTGATCTGTTTTTCATTTTAAGTTTCAAATTTGAGACACCCTTTCTTTCAGTTACCTGTCTGGGAATTCTGCTGCTTCTTCCAAGTCTCTTACTGGCTGCCCAGCTTCAAGAGCCTATCTGTCATTCTTTATTAGATTGGCGAGCCTGCTCTTTGGCTCTCTAATTGGCCAATTTGAGGAAAATAGCAGCCAGGCCCCTGTCTCCAAACAGTGTGGGGTTCTCACTCCATTCGAGCCTGACCACAGGGGTTAGGCTGAGATGTCTGCAGGGAAAATTCTGCCCCAGGAATCAAACACAAGATATTTCTTGTCAACTATGTCCTAGCCTAATCAAGTGACCTATTAAGAAATCAAAAGTCTCCTGATGTATTGTAAGTATTGTTTCTCCTGCTTTGTGGAGAACATGAAGCTCAACATGGAGGATAGCAATGGATGCCATCTGCACTGCTTTCTGTGCAGCCTTTTGGACTGGGCCTCAGTTCACTGATGTGTATGCTCATTGAAGTAACTGATTGAAACAAGGAAGTTATAGCAATGTTAAAATATCTCCAGTTCCGATTAAGGAACTGTGCATTTTTCAGCTTTTTCTGGCTATTTCAAATGTCCAACTTCTGTGATTTTTTATTTCTTTTTATCTCTGCATGGAAATTATTCCTCTCAACCCTTCTTTTCCCCTGTTAGGTATCACTTCTGCTGCCCCTTGCTAGGTTTGAAATAGCACCTCGGTTAGGTGTGTTACCTGCAGATAGCTGACTGGCTGTATGCTGGTCCCTCTGCAGCACTCAGTGCTTGTCCAACCTGTGTCTGCGTCAAGCCAAGGGACAATCGCCGGATCTTAAAATTCTTTGCAAATTCACGAATTTCTTCCAGGTTTATCCCATCCACCTCGGTGGGTGCATTTTGAGGCTCTAAAATGGCAAGAGAGAAGGTTCTAGATCGGAATATTTGGTCAGAAAATAACTTTATTCTGCATAACTTGGATTGCTTGAGAGAACTTCGACTACAACTTTGATAAAGACGGCCAGATTCGTAGACTAACAGTTTTATCTCCGTCCATCCTGCAGAAACTTGGTAGGCACAGGGTTAAAGTTAGCCAGGTGCTGCACGGTGGCTCAGTGGTTAGCACTGCTGCCTCACAGCACCAGGGGTTCAGGTTCGAATTCACCCTTGGGAGTGTGGAGTTTGCACATTCTCCTCGTGTCTCCGTTTCCTCCCACGGTCTGAATATGTGTAGGCTAGATGGATTAGCCATGGAATTACAAGGATGGGGGGATGCTCTTCAAGGGTCGGTGTGGACTCGATGGGCCGAATGGCTTGTTTTCACACTGTAGGGATCTTAGATACTCACCACAGATCCCACATTTTAAAGGGTATCTGCCAGAATCAGTGGGGTCTTTCTCTAAATGCACAGGGTTGGACAGCTAGGA